ACATTAGTAGCCACGGAAGCTTGAAGAAACCTAGGCAGGCATGCGACCCTTGTACAAAGCACAAGTTGTTGTGCTGTTGTTGCTGGGTGCAAACAGCAATTAAACAAACTTTGGTCTGTCTTTGTTTTGGGGGTACCCGTTTTGAAGGGGGTTTAAAGGGAAACCAAAGGAACACGATTTTGGGTGGTCTTCTAACGACGACAAAAGACACACCCATTTTCTGTCACAGCCAAAATGCCTTTGGCCCATTTCCACACAAGTCTTCACCCACGTGTTGGAGAGGGACCTGTAGCTCCAGTATTGCTGGCGATCCAGCCATTGAGACAACAAGTGTTGAGAATAGCTGCGGTAAGCTTCTTGGCGGACATCGACTGAACGGGACTTTCTGATGTTGATCTTGAGCTCGTAGCAAATATTGCACATGCCGTGTTGGGTTTTGCCCCTGAATCTCAGATGTCCACCTCGGATTCCAGGTTTGAGGATGCAATTCGCAACGCGAAGAAACGTACTGTACGAGCCAGGTTCTTCTGTTTTTGCCTTGCATCGGGCATGGTACTCCCAGTAAAGCTCAGTTCTGGACGACGCTTGCAAATATCGGCACGTTCCACAAAATGTGCCAGGGCCAATCATGTTGCGATCGGGGTCTGTTGCATAAGTTTGCAGCGACTTGAGGAACTCGTTGATGTGTCTCAGTTCCCAATCAGGGTCATCCTTTGGGAAAGGCGCCTCATCAGGACCTGCCTTGGGCAGCTTGAAGTCAGTAGGCATCAACTCAGCGCACGATTGGTAAGTCTCCCAGAGAAACATGACAACTCCAACCCATTTGGCCCCCACATTGCTGTCCAGTCTGAACCCAAAAGTCGGGTGCTTTGGCCCAAGCTCCCGCCGATTGTTCGTATACCCACGCTCCCCAGAGCGAATTCTTTGAAGAGTACTGCTCCCCACCCCAAGCAGGGCCTGTAGCGCCGATATGCAAATAGGCTTGTCAAGGAAGGTGGGATTTGACAGTCGCCTTGTCTGGTACTCGCGGGTGCGTTCGTTCTGTTCAGTGTCGGATGCAAAAAAAACACTGCCCTCAGTTTCTGATAGGCCAGAATGATCAGGTTCAACATCAGAGGCGAGAAATAATTCAGAGTCACTGCCATCTTCAAGAGGCATCAGGTGCTGGGGTTGGCTTGCAGGGTCATACTGCTGGGTGCAGTTGAACATTACCCGCACCATGGACTCCTTAGTTTTAGAGCTTGTTCCACATCACTGTTTTAGGGCATATTGTCCACCAAAAGGGCCACCCTAAGTAAGGAAAACACAAAAAACCATCCAGCAAACACCCCCGACAACTGAAAGTCAAACTGCGCCCAGTTAAGAAACTTTGTCCTCTGAGTTGAGCGCGCCCCATTCTTCACGTTTACGGATTACTTGGGCCTTCTGCCCTGCGAACTGCTGGAAACAAACCTTCCGGTTACAGCGGCATTCTCGCTGCAACAGCTCATCAATGGTTACATGAGGCGAGGAAAGGCTCTTGCTTTTTGCAAGACGTGAGACAGAGCCTGCTTCTGGCTCCTCATCCGAAGCATAGAACATTTGCTTGAGCAAAAGGCCAATAAGAGCAGATCAGGGTATTCCCCGACAAAAGCTTTGGCTGGTGCAGTTTGAGCCCAGCAGTCCTCGAAGCGGGTTTCTTGTTGGGCTTCGCGGCAGGCCGCTTCATCGCCCTCATCGCCGATGCCGGCCGCTTCATGCTGCCACTTCTGCTTCTGCTCTTCTGTTCTTGCTCTGCTGTTCACTGTTCCTGCTGCCATCTTGGGGCAACGTGTCTTGGGTCCCTGGCTGGCGTTAGCCTTCAAGTTGGCAGCGCTGCAAGCCAAACAACCCTGGACATGAAACAACCAAGTTTCACGAAAGCTCATTAAAAACAAACCAAAGAAAGTTCGTGAGGAAAAAGCGTGAGCGAGCCCTGAGATGCGCTTCAGAAGCAACTCCTATGGCTGCCTGCTTCGAGCTTGCTTCTCCTGGCTTGGCGCCTGAAAAAAATCAGCCGCGTCACAGCAAGGCTTCAATCGTGCGAGTGCATCAGAACCATGTTTTCGTTCGGGGGTGGACAACCGCGACAGGGGCGCGAAAACGACGCCCGCAGCCCAAAACCACAAAACCACCGCGGGGCCACGCAGAACAAGCGCGCCAGGGAGGAACCGAGCCCGGGACCACCCGCTTCAGAGACGGGGGCAAGACCACCGGGCCACCGAAACTGCGGCAGGGCCCCGCGCGCCCACGGCCCACGCGCGGGCAGGAGGCCCCGACCTAGAAAGCGCGGAAGTTTAGCGTGTGGCAAATTTTGGCCCCGAACTTGGATTTGAGCAGCGAAGCAGATTTAGAAGCTCGCAAGACACGTGCAGAACTTGAAAACAAGCTTCAAGAAGCCCCAGTGTTAGGCGCACCGGTACGACCGTTTTGGCTTTAACTTTTAAATTAATATTAAAGTAATTAGAAGTTAGGTTTAGGG